GCATTTTGAATTTTGCGCCTGGGATGGGAACGATCGCTTCCTTCGCATAGCCCTCTTGGACAGGATGATCGTTTTCTTTCTGGTTGCTTTTGCATTTCCATCTGGCATGGGGTCGCTTGTACCTCCAAGTACAGGGTGTTTGCTCATGACTTTCACAAGAGGAACCCCAAAAGCCTTCCAGGGTGCCAGTTCGGTTCCATCCGTGTGGAAATAGACACCGTTACACTCCAGATCCATAAAAATTGTACCACAGTCGCCTGGATAGGTGATCCGTTCGCCATCTTCGCGACTGGAGATACCAATGCTTCAATCAGGCACAGAGGCTAACTCGTGCGTTTCGTTCGTCAAAGGCGTGGAAACGACCGCAATATATCCACGGCGACTGGCACCAAAACCGGCATGAGTGCTGCCTTGTGGAGGCGGGATGGCCTGTGAATTGACATCAGGCAGTTTAATGACTCGAGTTGAGCCCGCCGCCACCTTTACTGTCTTTGGAGGTTTCACTTCGATGTTGTCATCAAATTCAAAGACGACTGAATCCGTGGAAACCGATCGAGAGACAATTTTTCCAATCTTGCACGCGTTGAATTCGTCCTCTTCTTTTCCGTCCGGGGCATTCACATCCTCTTTTTTTCACAAAGGTGTAAACGTCACTATTAGGCGCCTCATCGAAGATGTGCCCAGCCGTAAGCCCATAGTATTTGCCGTCATTGAAAACGACACAACTCAGTGTCGCGCCGGTGCCGTCACTGGCGCTGATCCAGTCGCCCCCACACAACCCATTGGTATTTTTGTTCAATTTCAGGATTCCATTGTCCATTCGATCGGTGCGCCCCGGAGTCCACTCCTTCTTCAAGTCGTCCAAACTGAGGGTATGTGGGGGTTGGTCTTGCTCTGTTTTGGCGTTTTGGCAGGGGCTGCATCGCCTTCTCCATCTTGTCCACGCTTCTGCCCACCGATACTTTCCATGGCTGCTCGACGTCGGTCGTGCTCCTTGCTGTTGTTGTCTTGGCCTTTGCGGCGCTAGTGCTACTGCTGCTGGTGGTGCCGTGTGGTTTGTTGGCTACCAAGTGTTTGTGGCTCTGGCTTCTGCTGTTTGCGCAGGACCGTCCGACGGTTTTCACTCAGGATTTTAAAAAAACTTGAAATTCCCACGACTGTGGACAGTTTAAAACATGCCCTTAACATGCCCTTAAATCTTCAACATGCCCTTAAACATGCCCTTAAATAAACATGCCCTTAAAACATGCCCTTAATGCCTCAAAACATGCCCTTAAGCCTTCATTGAAACACCATAGAACATGCCCTTATCAGGAATAAACATGCCCTTAAATAAACATACCCTTAAAACATGCCCTTAAATCGGCAACATGCCCTTAAACATGCCCTTAATAAACATGCCCTTAAAACATGCCCTTAATCGAACCAGTCGTGGCAGCTTTTTTAAAGCCTGAGCGAAAACCGTCGGACGGTCCAGCGTTGCCGTCAATGTTTTGTCGTGCGTCGTCGAGCGAGGGCCAGTCGTTCACGTTCGTACAGTACCGGTACAGTGTACTCCCGTACACAGTAATTATAAGCCACAGTCCACATTGATCGCCAAACTCAGAAACTGTGGTGATTTTTGTTTGTTTGCAGTATAACTGTTTTCCCTGGGGGGTGCCTCAAACCAACTCTGTACAGTGTGCCTTATCTTATCCCACCTCCCCTGTATAAATGAAAGTTTTGGTATGATATTAACCTGGTTTAGCCACTTTGGACCACATTCCACCACCTCCAACCGCCTTCAACCGCCTTCCACCGATTTACACCGCTTGTTTTACCGCCTTTTCACCGCCTGTTCACCGCATTTTCACCGGCTGTTCACCGCCTTTGTACCACCCTTCGGTTGTTACCGCTGTCCAACGCATTGGACCACTCTCCACCACTTCTGCCTCCAGTTTCTGCAGTTTGGCGATCACACAAAAGCTTTATATCCGGTGGTTGGGGAAATAATCAGGTAAATAGAGTTGGTTTGAGGCACCCCCCTGCTGCGGCTTGCAACAAGACACAGCCATGGATGTCTTGCTCGTTGGATCTGGAATATGGCTCAGATACAGGTATCGCAATTGAGAGAAAGAACCGCTACATGCAACATCGCAAATGGGCAACCTCTGCCACAGTTTTGTTGCCTCCAGCAAGCGCATGTCGAAAAAATCCCTTCCTCAAATGTTTCTGATACAACCAGCGAAAGATGAAGCTTCTACTTCCATTCTCCCCTTATTATTGTACTTGCCCGTAACGTAGCATGATAACGGTCTTGCTTCTTCTTATCTTGCTACTGTACCGGTACCACGCGGTAGCTATAGCTAGAGCGACGAGACGCCCGTTGGAGCTGGTGCTTTCCCTGTCCGTACCAGTACCCTGTCAACACTCACATACAACTCTGGTCAGAAGTACCAGCCCTCGCCTCGTCTAAAAGTACTGGTACGATGTACCGTGGTACCGTGGTACCTCGTGTGTCAAGGCGCACCTCTTACGATGTTCTGTGACCAATCTTGGGCGCACCTCAACGTTTCCGAATTCCGCAGGGCGAAAACGATTGTCGCACTCAACTTATTGCAAGACATCGAGTAATAACAGTTGCAGTTGTTGGACTCGGAGTGTTGAATGGTGTAAAAAAGACGACATCTGTTAGTCGCTTCAACTACGACGTCAAGCCATCATGCAAGTCTCCACTTGGAGGAACTGTCTCGTTGCGTTGTTCGCGGTGGCGGCAAGTTTTTCGAACACGGCAACGGCTTTCAGTTGCAACCGATTTTCTGGGCAAAGTCGAAAGTTTGCACCCGCATCGATCAGCCTACATGGAAGCCCGCTCAACCATGGTGATGATTTCGCTGGCTACGAAGAGGAACAGTTTGATGTGGAGCCAGGACAGAAGCTCGCCTCAGATTTCTACGGCGAGCTGGAGCTCAGGAACAAATTGGATTCCTTGACGTCGGCAGCGGCGGTAGAAGATGGAGCGACTAATGTCAACTTACGCGATGATACCGGAGGAAGCCGGGCTGCGACCTTGCAGTTTTCCAACAAAACGAGGCTTACATCTGCTGCTATGATTGGTACGACCGC